ATAGATTTTATTTAAAAATCTTACAATTCTTCTTGGTGTCGCGACCACCAGTTAAATATCTTAAATACATTTTGTAAAGCGCAATTCTTTGCTTATTTTCCGCATCGTATAGTATTACAATCATCTAGATTACGTAGCGATTCTACATCTTTGTAATGCGCGTCCAGAGTTTCGACGATGATATCATCAGTGTCGAGCATATCAGCTAACCATCCTCGTTTTTTGTGTCCCTTGACATATACGACAGCTTCATCCTCTTCTAACACAGCTTCCGTAATTAAATTTCTCACCATGCTGTAAGGGACCACCCCGTTATCCCACCGCATCCATGGTGATAAGTACTCAACCAGGAAGCGCAAGATTTGTCGAATCTCGTCAGAAAATGCCATGGCATAGGATGTGAAAAAATGTAGTGCGTGAGAATGGTTCCCCCTCTCAGCACCGCTACTTCCTTCACGATAAATTTCTTGTTAACGATGAATCCTTGTAGATCCACAAACGTTGGTATGACCATGACGAGCAATTTTTCGAGACTGCTCCACACCCTGGCTTTCCATTCTTTTATATTCGGGATACTTGCTGACGTTGCAATTTACATGATTTTGCGCACTACGTTGTACAACGGACAGTATTCGATTACACGATCGTGTATGATGAGACAATATGCGGTAGTTTTGGCGGGCACATTCTCCTTGCAGTCAAATTCTATGCGTACGTTCACAGTGGCGCTCTTGACGGATTCGTTTTGTCGCGAGCAATCAATGACTGCAAAAGGTCCTTTCTCGTTAAACGATAGTACGTTGAGCAGCGTCTCGAAGCTATCGATACCATAATATGCTTTACGAAAACGCGCATACATGTCAAACAGGACAGCGTACCTCTTTTTACCAAAATCCAGATTTAAATCACCATACGGATAAAAATCTGAATTTAGATATACTTTCACATTACTCAAATTACAATCGTCGAACACGCTGACATCTTGTGACATGACATTCTTTCGGCCGGTCTGTAGAGCAAAGATAACGTATCGCGGCTTCTCAAGCTGAGTCGCCGTTTTGACAGCCCATGAATGCTTGGTCGTTTTCTGCAACAAAGGATACTCATGCAGATCCCACGAGCGAAAACTTATACTCAGATAACGTCAGCTTTCCAACGCTCGCAGCATTGACAATTTATTGATCTCATTTAACGAAACGTGAGGCATCCGCCACTGCACTTTGAATAATTCAACTTCAGGCTCCGTCGCAGGATTTCCCACCAAGAAATTGTAATCGTTGCGCGCTCGTATCAAAATCAATTCGTGGCGAGGGTTGACAACTACGCGTTTGTAATCTTCGCAAAAGCCCAACAGCATGTTGAGCGGCACGCAAAAATTAAAGTATCCTTCCTCCGTGTCGGATCTAGAGTTCCATCCAGCGTTCAGCGCAATCAAAGCTTTGTCGTACGTCATCGATACATAGTTCTTGATGGGACTGGTAATTCCAACGTTTCTGTTACGCTCAATCTCCACACCGTTGAGTTCATATCGAATTTCATCAAACATGAACGCCCCAAAATTATTTCCAAGCGTCGACGACATCAGATCGTTTTTCTTCTGCACCGTCAATTTTCCTTCGAGGTAAAGAAAACTGTCGCATGGCAACGTGTACAAATCCTGCTGTTGTATGGGTATCCGTATCTCGTCGCTATGTCCAAACGTAGTGTTGGCGTACGGATTGTACGTGTGAGTCTCAATCTTGACGATGCGGTCGTCAAAGATCGGCTCACCGGTAATATTCAAGATATCACCATTTCGTACGACGAAACCCAATGACTTTAAAAATGCGACGTTGGACGCAGTGAGTTTCTTTTCAGGTGTAATCTTTCCAGTAAAAGATGTATCTCTCGTCTGTTTCGGCTGTTCGTTCAACACAAGCATCTCAGGTTAGCGTCGTCGTACATGCAATCTAACGGTGATCTCCTCTCCGCGAAAATCAAGCAATCGACCGTCTTGGTCCACCACGCGAATCGTCAGATCAGTAATGCTCCGTACGACGATCGGAAGGTAAATGATCTGGGTAAGTCTTTCCGATATCTTATATCCTGGCGGTACGCTCGGTGAAAACTCGTGTATCGTGTGCACGCACCTGTCGTTGCTGTACGCACCCGCGGTCACGTTGCACTCGATACGAATGATGTTCACGTTGATGATATTTATTGGCACATCAGACTCGTGCCACTGTCGCGGCTCCAGCACGCGATTCGTCGAAAATCCCAGCAGCGAGCTAATGTTGCGAGGTTTTGTAAAATTTATCCGATAGGCGCATTTGATCTCACTTCTCATTGTATTGTTGTTGGCGCGAATCACCAGCGGGAACTCTTCGTCCTGCTGACCCTTTGCATCGTGAGAACGTAAAATTTCACGCTTCGGATACCGCTCGATATCGCGCAGTTCGTACGATCCATCGGGAATGACAATTTCCTTGTTGTCATAGTAAAATTTGTTGTTTGTCGAATTTACATTGGCTAGAGTATAGTACGTTTCAAAGTCCGTCAGACCGAGCTCGTAATCACCGTCACCCAAATCTACCGCCGGAAAGTAGCTTACGGCGAAGACGCTACTCTTGCCAGTCAACGTAAACGTCAGCGACATGTTTGAACGAGCACTGAGTCAAACAGCGCAATGTCTGTCCTTAAATTACTAACCAACCGATCGTAGAAACTGTAGACAAAGCTGCCCGCAGTTGTTCTGATTGTAACGCTGATGAGGCGTGCGATTGTACTCGATTACACTGTTTGCCAGATATCGCTCGAGTTCCTTCGGCGGTCGAAGATTACCGAAACTGTCAAAGTATACGACGCGATTCCCCCTTTTCGCATATGCCACCCAATGCGTACCGGGTCCCACGGCATTGTCTAGATTTACGATACCGCTCTCGTTTCGACGTACTCCTTTAACCGGTAATGTAGTACGCATAAAGACACCTCTAAAATATGGAATGCGCATACGGTTTGCAAGTTGTTGCAGTTGCACATCGGTAGTTACTCCCCTCGGAATTTTGAACGATTCATCAACGTTTTTTTTTCTACGCGCGACACCTCGTCCGCGCTTGTAGGGAGCGAGATAAACGCCGCGACCTTCCATGACGCGATTATGACGTTGCAGTTCTTCCAGTTGACGCTGCGCTGCTTTGCTATCGTTTACGGCCTTGGCGACTCCCGCCGCCCCACCGACCTATGACCCGAGAACGCCGAGCAGCGGTAGAACGGGTTGGACGCCGCCACGTTTCGCTATCGGAAGAATCCTCTTGCTCCTCTTTGTTTTCAAGCCCATACCAATCTTCGTTTTGGCCTTCATAGCTGCCCAAACGGCTGTGGCTGCGGCTCTCTCTCTGAGAGTCGAATCACTCGAGGTAATGCGTTTCCGCGCCTTCTCAACGAGTATATTATCAGCAGCGTGTCGTTCGGTGAGATCGTTTCTGTGCGAATACGCTATGTCG